AATGGGGACTGTTAAATGGCCTCATATTGACAGACACACTGAGACACAATTCATTTTTATCACACACACACACACACACACACACACACAGACACACATGCACACACCGCTCACGTTCACACACACATTTTCCTCCTACAGTCTCTGACTAATGAGGCCTGGGGCTAGAGATGGTTCCATCAAGGAACTTCCCCCTCTTTCTTTCCACCTCTAACACACACACAGACACACACACACTCGCTCTCCCTACTCTCAAACATGCACCTGATTGATAGCAGTGATTTGACTGAGAAAAGGGAAATGGGGAATTGAAAAATGGTGGAAGAAGATTGGAAACAACGTGCTGATTATAAACTCTGCGAGGAAACAAAAGGCCTTCCCTCTGCCTTTTCTTCTTAGCAAAGAGGTAGCAGGTGTGTGTCTGACAGGTGCCTGATTGAGGCGCACAAAAGACATTACAACTGCAAACAAATGGACGTGTTTAGCGTCCCGGATGTAGTTAACATTTTGGGCTGATGGATGTGATTATGTGTATATGAGCAGTGGCATCTGGAGAATGGGTGCAGGTGTTAAAGAGAGTCAAGCGGAAAAGGAAGCATGTTATTGTTGTGATGACAATAATCCAGCGATACAATTAATGGTTTGTCGTCACCAAGGTCAGGAGCCTCTGGGATGTATTTAATGTGCCTCATATTGTAATAATAAAGCATCCCTCAGCTAGAGACAGATACACAGCAGGTGGAGGACCTCGCATATTTATCATCATGAGAAAGAAATGAATCAGAGAGGCCAACAACCATTGGGTTACAAATTCATGATTTACAAAATAACCTAAATTACCTCAAAGCCAGCGCCACTTATTTTGGTCTTCTGATGTTTATTTTGTCATGTTTCAGGAAAATAATCAAGGGCACTTTTATATCAGTGAGAATAAATTAGTCGCTCGCTCCTGTTGAAAGAGCTTAATGTTTTTGCACAACTGAGGGAGCGCCTTGGCCGAGGCCCCAGTGGTTTAATATCCTCTGAGAGCTTCCAGACAGTGAGTGGTGGTGCAGCAGCTGTGCGCCTCGAAGGAAAAAGCAAATCATTGTACTACCTCCCAGCAAATGCACTTTGTTGGTGATTTATAGACCTCCAAAGTTACTGCATTTGTCACAATGAGCAAGACTTTATAGTTTGCAGCAATAATGATTTTTCTGCTTCATATTATGTTGAGACATCCCTTTTGTAGAGAAGTCTTGTTTTATTTTGCCAAATTACCTTTCGTGTCACTGTGATATTATAGCCTTTTGATGCGGTTGTATTTGTGTAACAGGGAGAACTCGGTGTCTGTCATGTGACGCCGCTGTGTGGAACAGCAGCCTGGCATCTGCAGTCGTCACAGATGTGTTGGCGTTCTCTTTTTTCTTGACACCACTGTGTGAGCCGAACGCTACCCGAGTTGTCATTATAGCTGGCTGCTGTTTGTAGCTTTCCTTTTGTTTGTGTGTGTCAGTTGCCAAGACATTTGCATGTGTGTTGTAAGTGACAAGACCCAGTCACACAAGATAACTCACAGGTATTTTTGTTTAATAAGTAATTAGTGAAGCTGGAATGTCTTCATTCAACAGCCATCTAGCGTCATTCATTATGGGCAATTGTAGATTTTTACTAAGAGCAAGCAGGGTACCAAATTCAATATATCTGCTCTTTATCTGACAGCATTTCTGAAGAATTACCCCTTCATCTCTCAAAGTAAAAGTTGTCTTTGTACAACACAAACATTCAGGTCACAGATCGGACATTAGCAAACCAAAGCTCATTAACATTGAGCAATTACCACCTCTGTGGGGATGCTGGTGAAAGCTCGTCCCTCTTCCAGTTTATCCTGCAAGAACATGCTCTGCCTCTCTTGTAAACCGGCCTGATTAATACATGTTTCGTTCGACTCTGGGGAGGATTAATATGAGTATTCCCAGTAGTGTTTGCAGGTGAGCGATTTTTGATATCTCACTGACATGTTGGGTCGGATTAAGCTGTAACGGCTGACGAAGATAACAGAAGAAACAGGTTAAATCGAAGCACAAAACATTCCCCATTATATATAGAGTTGAGCTCCTACAAATACTTGTTTCTAATATCAATTAATTAAGAAGTGCCATTTACAGCACATTTCTGTACATTAAAATGCTTGTTTTGTCAAACAAACGAACCTAAAGATATTCATTTGGCCGGAATACAAATAAACCAGGATATGGAGTTGGCACAATTACCATTAGGATGGATTTGTCGAGATCCTTGTGTTTGCTGATGAAGACAGGGTAATGTGGTTGAAAGCTCTGTGAAATGCCTTTTGAATTGTTCAGTCAACTTTCCAATTTATACAGAGAATTGCTCAAATATATGAATAATTTAATGTGTACCTGCAACAATTATGCCTGAACAAGGACTTACATGAGTTGTCGGGTGTGGGTTTTTTTCTTCTTCTTTTTGCGAGGACAGCTGAAGCTCACTGATCAGTTTCTTCTGTGAAAATCCTGACCTCAAAAGTTGTCTGTTCGTTGTGTCCACCCTGCAGGAGCTCGCTTCTCCATTCCAAGAGAAAAAGTTTCAAGCCCACCTGTGATCCCTCTAATTAAAGAAAACACAGTGGGGCGAACACAATAAGAACACATGGCTCCACACACAGGCGTGCACACACGCAAAGATAAGATGTGGATCAATATGGGGGACTGCACAGAGTTCCAGCATTCAACTCGTTTTTTCTTCCTCTTATGCGCTGCGATCACACACTAGGTTGACATGAAACACGCAGCAGATTACAGACATAAATAAGCAAGGGAATGTTATACCTGAAAGGAAGAACACTGATTCAAAGGCATCCCATTAGTACTGGGAAGAAATGTTGCCTCATTAATGTAACCCCCCCCTGCCTTTTACTGATATTACTGATATATATATATATATATATATATATATATGCGTCTATATATAGATGTATGTTGATGTACAGCCAGAGAGAGAGGTGCCACACAGAAAGCCAGCCTCCTCAGGTCCTGCCTGAAAATACAGTGCTGAATATGATGGATTTGTTCGGTTGACAATGGGTTGAACACAGACGGCTGAATCTTAGAGCACTTGGAGCTTCACGTTTTCTAGGAGCCATAATCGAGTGCTAAAAAACATGCCCCTTCAAACGTTCACAACTAGCGTGTTTCCAGTTGGAAAAGCAGCATCGGCGTAGGTGAAAAGGAGCTACTTTTTCCACCTTTGCTGTTTCTGCTTCGGATGAAAAGAAGACGAGGTGAGGCAGCAAGGACAGACATTATTTGGAGGACGGTTGGCCTGCCCGCTCTCCTCCGCCGTGATTGACAGATTGGTGCAACGGCTGCACTCGCACGAATGCCATCACACGCGTTTCCCCAGAAATCTGTCTATCAGCACTGTCTAAGCAGAGCGACAGCCATGACATCTAATCACAGGCGAGCTGGCACCTCATAACTTCTACCTAATGTGCTGCAGGTAGAGAGAAGAGAAGGGGAGCGCGGCAGACGAGCCACAGTGCTATTTATAGCCCCTTCAGAGGCCACCAGCAGGAAGTGGATCATACCGAAGGGTTAGAGAAGATGTCACCGCACTACAGCACAAGTCTCTCTGTGAAGATTCACGTAGGTGTCTGTTTGACACGATCAAACACGGAGATGGCCCGGCGCCATTGCGACACATTTCTTACTTTTTTACACTGTAACATAAAACGAGAGCAGATATTGTACACATAATCATTTACATAGCATTGCTACAACATAATAATTACTTGGCAATTAACGCAGCTCAAAGGCCTCATTATGGGCTGTCCTGTGGGCTGCTTGGACCGGGAGGCATACGCTGTGCTCACTGAAGCTCGAGTCTGGCAACCAACAGCGCTGCCTCGTTTTGTTCAAATATCTTTCAGCTGAAGCAGAATCGCCCCAGAAGTCTCATTATTAACACATCCTAAACACACTGTTTAGCCTGACACCTGATGTTTTTAAAGAAGCCGAGGCTTAAGCCATTTGAGATATTGCAGCGGGCATCTGGACAATGTTCCAAACTTATTTCCCATCGCGTGCGATTTGTCACTCACGAGTCTTTTGTCCCGAGGGAACGGCTGACACATTGAAAAGGCACAAAGAGGTTTAACAGGGACGTATGTCATACCTTACACCCTTATTACGGCTGCCGTGACAAGTTAGACAAGCAGCCAACTTGGACACACTGTACGCTCAGCACTGGAGCCCACATTGCTCACAGCCAGAGTAGAGAAGTCTGTGTGTGTGTGTGTGTGAAATGTCAATATGTAGATATAGGTGTGCGGAAGCGGCCAGGGGAGAAAGTGTGTGTAGGAGAGAGAGAGAGAGAGAGAGAGAGAGAGAGAGAGAGAGAGAGAGAGAGAGAGAGAGAGATATATGCTGGGGGGGGGGGGGGGGGTGTTTGTGAATAGCAGACAAAGAATGACGGAAGCCCTCCCAAGGGTCCGGGCCCTGAGCACTGCTGCAGGGGACTTGGGAGCGCGCCAGCCTCCCGTGCCCTTTGAGATGCCAGTTTGGGTGGGCACCGTTCCGAGTGGGTGCTCTCTTCTCCAGGATCCACACCGCCGGGTCCCAGGGGGGGCGCCTCCAGGCAGTGGCTGGCTCCGCAGCGGGGCTGGATGGAATCTCAATCAGGGACGTGAGGAAGGGGGAGTCCACAGATACACCCCCCTCCCCCCAGCCTCTGTTCCTCCATATTAATACGCCGCTGGATGAGGAGAGAAAATGGCTCATTATGTTCGGGATTGTACACACCTGTGGAAGAATAGAATTATTACTCATTATGAAGCTTTTTGTGTTTGTCTTAATTGGCGGAAAATTACACAAACAGCATATGGAGATTATATGTCACACGTGAATATGATTTTTTTTACCTGTGCAATATGACTCTGCGCTCACAACCTGTCTGTTCTCTTCTCTTCTGCTCTTGTCCCTCGTCCTGCGCTGCAACAGGAGCTGCTGAAACCCTGACAGGTACTCTTTCTTTTTTGCTACCTGCTGTTCATTTGGAAGCGTTTGCTTCCGTCTGTCGCCTGTCGGTTGGCTGTCCATCACGGTATCTTCATCTGTGCATATTTACATGAATGGTTGGTTATGTTGGTGTTTTCTTTTCCAAGGGAAGAGGAGAGAGTGACACACTCACTAAGCCAATCCACTGTTTATGTTTTAAATTCTCAAATCAACATCTTGCCACACCTGTAATGGCAGATTTCATTTAGTCTACAGAGCCAGGATTTTGCTCAGCTAGAAAGTGCAGTTCAGCAATGATAATTATATCAACAGTATAAAATATACACAACTGGCTATAACGGTTTGTCTTTTTCAGGAACGTTAAGCCATGATTTGTGCAGCTGTCTCCTCCTTTCTCAAAATGTTCAGCTGCAAACTGCCTCTTCAATAGAGGATGTGAACTAACCCTTCATCCTTTATGTTATTTACTTTAATAAATAACACCCTCAAAACATGGGCGGTTGCTGTGAATCAATGACTAGTATTATTAGGGCAAATTAGGGCGACGGTTTTCAGGGCTGAAAGTCCAATAAACGATTTCTTCATTATGAAGTGGTGCACAATCATTACAAAGCAGCGGCCATTTCATTTACTTCAGATAAATGATATACTTTTTAATATTTGGTGACAGATTGAACGTTCACGTTTTCAAGTCACGCTGTAGCATCATTATACAAACGGTTCCTTGAGGCTCTGAGGGAGCTGGTCTCTGGCAGAAAAAAATGGTTAAATTAGTGGGTATGAAATTTTGGAAACCTTCCCATGCAGAGCATCTAGGAGTACTGGCACGGCACTAATTATACCCTGAGACAGAAGCTTTCTTACTTGTGAACATTCTTGAAACAGAATTTCATCATGAGGATCAGGGTTTAATGACTGAGCTGGATAACGACGTCCAGTGGTAAAAATGAAAACATCAGAGAAGGTTAGGCAGTAACTTTGATTGTTAATGACTGGCTATAGTCCTGGTTGTTGAAAGGACACGGCTGCAATGGAGGGCTGCCTGTCCTGCTTTTTGCTGCCCCTTTCATGTCCTTTCATGTGAAAACAAGAGAGACAAGTTGAAAGAGGGAGCGAGCTTTACTGAAAGGTGCCTGTCTCCAAACTTCTGCTGGAGGAGCCGGTCTGCAAATATTTCCTGATTTCATCAACTTTTTCCTAAAATTGGTCAGGTTGGGTGGGGTTTACGAGGGGGGTGGAGGGGTGGTTGCTCTCTCCGGCTGATGAGGCAAGCCTCCATGCCAGACACTCAATGCCAAATTGTACATCCCCCTCAGAGAGCGCACAGACTTCTGAAGGTCTGTATTTCCCTCTGACTGTTTCATTCAGTATGTTATGATGCAGGAACAGGAGGGCAGCCATGTGTAGAGATACCGGCACTTTACTCTTCCAGACAGCTGCTGGAATGAGTGTGAATTTATCAGCCAGTCATCTGTGCCATGCCTCTCTGCCCACTCCCCCTTCATCCCCACCCACCACCCAGAATTAATGACTGCCTCTCCTCATTTGCACCCAATCATGACCAGGATGCTGAGGCAATTGAAAATGTTTACTCCAATTGCAGAAACCCTCCATGTTTCACAAAGTGGCCTGTTTTCCCTTTGATGGGATTGCTAATCACAGTGACGTTATTTATGTGTGTTTTGAATTGGAGATGAGCCCAGGCTCGGATGTTGGAGGGGGACCAACCCTGCTTGGGGCTGCTAAACCTTATGGAGGAATTATCTATCGCATTCCCTTTTCTCTGAGCCCAGCAGATCGGGAGCAGAATAACCTTGCTTTAAGGCTGCTCTATGTTTCTGTTTTGACTGCCAAAATAACATACTATACTTTTAAAGCGTGTAAAAAAAAATAAACATCAATACTCATTTCTTTCGCCTCATCTTCTGCAACTCTAACTGGATGTTCAAAGGAGCTCCGGCACACTTGATATCATTGCAAACTTACACACTTCACCGCATGAAGAATATTTTGACTTCATGCCCATGATTATCAGTCTTCATTTATCATTTTTTTATTTATTTATTATAAATGTAGCAAGGAAGCAAATAATTGCTCACTTTTCTCTTTTTGATTTAAAGTAGATCATCAAACTAAACCACATCGGATGATTCACCACCACAAGATTTAGCTCCAACGCTCGTGAAGGAAAAGGTTGTGCACCATATAAAGTGGAACATATAGTTGGTGGATGGATGCAACTGGAGCTTATGTCACTTTGACAGATGTGTAATAAATGTTCCCCTGACCACAACATCTTCCAAACAATTGCCTACACAGCAAAGCAACCAATAACACGTAGGCAGGATTATTAAAAGATAAACATAACACAACACGTGTCGACATCGGAGAAGCGTGATGGAAGGAGATTGTTGCTGATAGTTTAGCCTTCTGCTAACTCTAAAGGCTCACAGCTGCCCCTACGCTGCTGGCTCGCCCATCAAATCACAAATATATGGTACATTAAAGGGATTTATGGGCTCATAACCTTGCCTGCTCCAGTTTAGGCTCACTGTGGCCTGTGGCTATGCCATGCACACAGAGGGAAAAACAAAGAATGTAGATATATTGTATATTGGGGTTTTGCTGAACCATTCATATTCTTGTCAGGGTTTTTCTTTTGACAATAACTTACTCAATTTGCATGTGGTCTTACTGTTGTAATTACAAGTCAACATAAATAAAACTGTTTGACAGGGTATTTCCATTGGAGGGAAGGTAAGAAAAAAGTAATTATATATGTGTTATATGATCTAGCTATTACATTTCAACCTTGCCAGTATGGAAACTATGAAAAGGCGTTTTGAGAAGCCCTCCGTTGATTAATATTCCCCCTCATCCATTAAACTTATTCACGGTTGGCCGTTTTGTCCTTAGAGGCTGTTTAGAGACGTTTCCTTGTCAACAATAAACCCTGAACCAGAATTAGAAAAAATAGACCTACTGCCGTGCAATTTATTTTCGTTGATGTTCGTGAGCATTTATGCTATTTAATACAGATTATGTCATCGGCCATTTGAAAGCTGTAAACGTAAATGGCGTAAAACATCTTCAATGCGTGGCAATGTGTACAGTTACGACACAATCTGTGTCTTTTTTTATCCATTACCCATATCCTGAGACTGATCCCTTGCAGCAGAGTGAAATGAAATGGGTAACTTATTGCACTAGACAGGTCTGAGGAGCATTTTGTCCGCTGGAGGTTAATTTCTTATTGCTTGCCGCATTCTCTGAGTCCATTTTGAATCATGTTAGTTTGGCTGTCTATTCCCATTATCCCTGGATAATGCAGGTGTTTTTTCTCCCCCACTTTGTAAATGTCAGAATGCAATAGAGGTGTCTGACAACTTGGGCATGCAAATGTGCTTCTGATGTTTTTCTCGGGGCTTGTGGCTGCAAGCGCTGTTCCTCCGCCGGTGTGAATTTGCAGCCATAAAGTTATTCAGCGTTTTCTTTTAGCCTTTTTTTTTTTTTTTGGGCTGCTGCCTGATAAATATAGCACAAGGTGACTTCTCATTCCCTTCTGCGGTCGGGTGGGGGAAACTTTGCCAGACTTTGTGTGCGGGGATTTGGTGTGAGGTGTAAGTTACGGTGACAAGGTCCGCCGACCTGTCCATGGCAGCAATGACAATCCACAGAGAGAGAGAGAGAATCGGATGCTCAGAGCCCTTTTATTCCTGGAGATACGGAGCAGCTGAGCACACGCGGCGCACATTGGTCGCATGGAACCTCAGATGGGGGGCTCTGATAAAGCTCAACCATAAACAGCATCCAGCCCCGGCTCATCCCTCTCCTTCTCTCTCTGTTTAACTCCTTCTCTCTTCTTCCACCCTCGCCAATATCTACGGCATGCCATTTTTTTCACACTCGTTCCTTGTCTTTTTTTTTTTTTTCTTCCGACCCCCTCCTCTCTCCCTACCTTCGTGGGCAGCAGAGCTTACAGCCCATCTGGCAATGACTCACAGGGCCCACTCTGAGCTGGGGGGAGATCAATAGTGACAAACATTGCACATGGCTCTTATATTAGAAGGATTAAGTATGGCTGCAACCAAACAGTGTACGGGGCCTTTTCACGCATCTTTAGACTCTGCATGTGTTTACATGGAGTCCCTGTTGTAGGAAGTATAAATATTTAACAGGCTGTAAATATTCAGAGAGGAACGCTCGCCTCACATGTGATATTTAATTCTCCCCATGTGTGTCTTTTGTCTGCGTTGTTAAGTCGAAGGTCAGAATCTGGCGACTGACAACGTGTCGGTGATCGAAGGAGAAACGGCCACCATCAGCTGCAGAGTGAAGGACAACGACGATTCCGTCATCCAGCTGCTCAATCCCAACAGACAGACCATCTACTTCAGAGATGTTCGACGTAAGCGCTGCTTCTTCAGACACCATTTCAAACCGTGTTTCCTGAAATCTTGTGAAGTGGACATGAAATATGCAATACGATTCAGATAACTAGAAGAAAAGGGTTCGCCTCTAATTCTAACATTGGCCCATCTCTCCGAGAATACTACCTACATGACTTTAAAGGAAAAGCCTAAATCAAAGTCATGTTTTTCTTGTTAAGGGCAGTGCTACATCAGTTCTAATAACAGATAATGATCAATTTCAATTAAGAAATGAAAACAAAACTATTTGAGAATGATTATTGCCTAAAATATGTCCATTTGGCCTTAAAAAAAACACCCTATTAATCTAGTAATGCAGTAAGGGCTGTCACTTTTTTCAACAAGCATGTGCAAATTCACTCATACCCACACGTGAATCCTTTGTTCTCATTAATTTGCCTCTCCCTTATGTTACTTGCCGTCCTGAGAGTGACAGATGAACCTTACAAGCTAGATGCTTGCATACTTTTATGATTTAAGCTCAAAACCTTTCACCACAACTTAATCAAATCATTGAACATGTTTAAATCAAACAACTTTGATTTACGGTGTTCAACTTCAACATATAAAATTAAAATATGCAACAACTACCCAATTCTATTAGTTCACCAAAGCCAATTTGCGGCTGAAGAGCTCATTCCTCACATCCTTGTTTTCACAACATCTAGTCTTCATTCCAGACTTAAGGCTAATTTAACAACATTTGTGTTGTTTGAAAAAGGGGTTTCACAGTAATAGGTGCCGGCAGTTTTTTCTTTCTCAAGAGGTGTTTGTTTTTGTTCCACATTTCAGGGCATTTCGTACTAAAAAGGTCTCTCAGCTTTTGACATTTACAGTAAAGTATCAGATGTCAAGATCAGCTTTATCTTTAGGTTAAACGTCATTCCTTGATTTGTTGGCTCTTTTACACAAGTAATTACGCTCAGAATGTGCAAAGATTAATATGAGATAATACAAAGCGCCACCATAATGAGAACACTTCTGTGTCCTTGTCACTGTTCGATTTTACGATAATCTCTTAGATTAGGATTTTGCACATTTTGATTATGCATGAGCATATGGGATACTCCCACCAAGTTTTTCTATCTGCTTTTTTACTTGTTTGCATCTGGGATCTGAGCCAAAATTCAAGGTGAACGAGAAACATCCTTAATTTCCGTCTATATTGCATCCCAGCTGTTATTTCACAAGTCCAGGTAACAGTGTTTCAGTTTCTCAAGCTTGTAGAGTTTGTGTACAGAGCCTCATCTCTTATTGTGATACAAAGCATATGTGCCCACGTGATGCTCAACATCTTAGAAATATGCGTACTCATTCCATGGAGTAGATGGAAACTGGGATCACGTCAGTTTAGGAAAGCAACGATGAATAATGGGCCCTTACATTCTGGTAGTAATCAATATTTCCTCTATGCAAGGTCATTGCAGTTCCAATGACAATTTGAAATTAGATCAGAATATATGAAATATTCCTGACAGGGGGCTGAAATGTTGGGACACTGTTGTGTGTTTGTGTTTTCCCCTGTAATGGGGTCTAGTGAACCCCATGGCAGCGCTATTCTAGACTTTGTTCCTGAAGGACTGCGGGTGCTTTGGGGACCCCCCTCAGACAGTGGCATTGTTACCTGTCAACAGGGCCGCTCGACACAGTGGCAGATCTTTGTATACAGGCGAGTAAACAGCAGCGACACAGAGACACACCAGGAGCTACAAGAACAGCAGCTCAGAGTGAAGCGGCAGCCACAGAAACAGCTACCTACACACAAGCAGCAAGCAGAATGGCTTTAAAGAACCAGTGAAAGTCACATAAACACATTTACATTGCAGCAAATAAAGATGAATTGTGTCATAGGTGTATAGGCGGAGCGCTTGTTGCTGGTGTGCGATAGCTATTCTGCAAGATATATGCGAAATGACGTGCAATTTGGCGAGTTGTCATCTGAAATGGAAGGAATGAGCTTTCATCAGCAATGGTGGACCTCTTTGTCTGGTGATGCTAACAACATTATTCTTTCACTGCATCTTTTCACAGGAGTTGTCTGACTTTATGTTGGCAGGGTTTAATGTTTAAAGTGATTCTCTGCCAAAAGAATGTCCTGTTAACTACCAAAGATTCACCGGCTTCAGCTTCTCAACTGTGAATATTTGAGTGTACTTCATACTCATTTATTGCCAAAATAATCACCCAAGAAAGAAATACATTTTGAATAAAATATATATTTTCCACCCTAATCGGTATATTTATATTGGTAAAAATATGCCAAATAACAGATGAGGTTTCCCCTGTGTGCTTTTATGTAAACAGTCAGCTGGTTTTAAAGCTGCCTCGTATAAACTTCATTGAGCGTCTCCAAAGTGAAATGTTTCCCTCCCAAGCAGGTGCTTCAGCTCTCAGAGTGCATCAGCGTCATTGTTTCCCTTTGAGGAGAGACTTCCAAAGAGCTCTTCAACGAACTTGTGGGATGGCGTTTCATGTTGACACTGCCCCGACCTCGGGTAATGATCGTGGCGCTAAGTGTAAAGCATGAAGGGAATAACAAACTCCCCGTGCTTTTAATGGGGGTGTCGGGGGGCTGAATAGAGTTCGTTACCTCGGCAGATGCAGAGAGGACTTGATAAAGAAGTCGGGTCAAAATCATCGAAAGGGCTCCCAATCAAATCAACCACGGCCGATGTTTAAGGGCGCTGCTTAGGGATGAGGGCTGACCCAAATGAAAAGCAAGAGTCAAAACTCCGGGAGAGACGGCTAACGTAGTTTGACAACATTGAAAAGAAAATTCAGCAAATCTTAGTGGCATTAGTGTACAGATTCCCCAGCTGCTTCTGATTCTGGGTTTTAGGAATCCGACCCTCTCCACCTCCTTAGTGTGATTTCATTCATTATGTATGTTTGAATGCCTTCTGCCTTTGACGCATCCATCCATAACCAGCGGCAGCCCATTTTTAAGAGTTCCGAGCTTGTTAGGAGTCTTCACGAGCACTCTTCACACTTTCCTGTCAGGGCCAGTGCTCCACGGACTGTAGAGCTACTTTATGAATCAACTTGTAGGAATCGTTTTTAAACACACTTTTCTTTTGCTCAATTAATGAGAAAGCCCACAAAAGGGCAGCGCTCTCCCCCCACCATCCCAACCCTCCCCCCCTTACTACCTTCTTCCTCATTTCTCGCGTCTCCTCTGCCTCCCTTCATCCCCTCTTGCTTTTTCTCACCCCGGTGTTTCGCGTGGGCGTCCCTGTTCTCTGTATCCTCACTGTCTCCGTCTACCGCGTGTCCCCACAGCTCTGAAGGACAGCCGGTTTCAGCTGGTCAACTTCTCTGACAACGAACTGCGGGTGTCTTTGTCCAACGTGTCACTTTCCGACGAGGGACGCTACGTGTGCCAGCTCTACACAGATCCTCCTCAGGAAGCCTACGCAGACATCACTGTCCTGGGTAGGTGTGATGGTGCGAGTGTGAACCGCCGCACGGCGCTAAACATCACACCCGTCCGTGCGCGCGTTTGTATGTATCGCGTCTCGCTCACTTATAAGTGGTGCATAGGAAATAATAGTAATCGTTGATCCTGTTATCTTTAACAACTGAAACAAAATGTCAGCCAATTAGGCTTCTGCGGTGTTCAACAGCATAACGGAAAGGAGCAGATGCTGAGACTGATGGCTCAGACCACGTTGGTTTTGGCAGCTGCGACTCTGTGAGTCCTGGTGAATGTTGACTTGGCTGCTCCAAACGATTCCCTATTGAGAGTCAGCTGTGCCACACTTTGATGCTTTGGAGTGAAATGACTCCAGTTAAGCTTTATTATACATGCAGACATCCTGGGGGATTGAAAGGAATTAAAAGCACTTTAAAGTAATTACTCTGGTTGTACAATTGAAGCATAGCTGCAGTATTTTCTGAACCAAGGGTTGAAGAGTCCTTGAAATGAACACCCCACTGACTTTTTGCTTTCAAGTAACAGGAGTTCAGCAAGTTTTTTCAATTTCTTATGCTAAATCAAATTCTGTGTACATTTTACCCTGGTATGCCAAAGTAATGTACAAATGATGCAGGATTCATGGTGCATCCAGTTTTTTGTCAGTGAATAAATGCTTCAACTCCGTAGGCGCCAGGTTTAAGGAAAGGAAATCAGGAAAATAGTTCCATGTTAAAATATCAGCAACAGGGTCGTGTTTTATATTGCAATATGTTATAGTCACCCAACTTTTGGAACATTTATTTTTATGTCTGCATGGCATTTGATCCAGATAACCATGTCCTCGGGATGAATTGTGATTACATTGGTGACCACCGTTACTTTCCGTCTAGTGCCGCCAGGTCAACCGGTCCTGTGCAATACTGTACTGTACTATCAACAAATACCTGGAAAGCTCATGACATTCCTATTGAGCTAAACTGTAGTGTCTGCACTAACTAACTAACTAAGACGGGGAACATGGTGAACTTACCGCCAAGCTTAAGGGTGATTTAACTTAAACTCTAGAAACGGAAATGATCACTTTCTCAAACATATGTTGTAGACGCATATTACAGAGAAAATATTGTGTTTCTGACTGTTCCTCTTGGTCAAGTCCCGCCAGGCAACCCAATGATCGAGAGCCGTGAGGAAATGGTCAGCGAGGGGAACGAGACGGAGCTCACCTGCACAGCCATGAGCAGCAAGCCGGCCGCCTCCATCAGATGGATGAAAAAGGGGGAAGAACTGACAGGTCGGTAGAAAAACAGCCTCCCTCACTTTACCTCACGCGCCACAGGCCTGTCCACTTCCGCACATGTCGCGCTCTCCGCAGGGGTTTCGTCCGTGAACAAAATGCAGTTCTCTCCAACATGAATGTGTGTTGTACTGATTATTTTCGTTGGCACGTGTGAGGACCACGGGAAATAATCATACTACTCTCCCTTCTTTTTTGACCATGTATAAAATCCACCCACCATATTCCTGGGCTGCTTGCTCAGCATGAAATGATCAATCCATACATTAAAAAACTGAAAGAGCTGCTATCCTGTCTCCTTTACTGTTACACATACATTTCACAAAACTTTTGCTTTTAGCAATCGCAATTTTCAGCAATAGCATTTGCATTTAGGAGAGACAACCCTGAATCTTCACTATTTATTTTAAACCTGGTGGAGATGGTTATGAACTCATATCTGCACAATTCATCTTCATTCCGGCGACTGCGGTCGGCTGTGGGCTGTTGCAGAGAGGAGTATATGATCTTGGGTGGTGAAAATTCCTCATTACCTCTCAGTTATGATTAGGGACCATCAATAATTCATTTCATACTTATTGTACAGCGATGGAGGATATTCATTTTAGTCATATCGTATTTACGCAGAGTCTATATCTCTCGGCTTGTCAAATTATATATGTATTAGAATGGAGAGGATTCATTTGGCTTGTTGAGAGATGAAATATTTAGACAAGAGCGAATCTGAAGCTAAATGCCATCTGTGCCTCCAGTGTTCCCTACAGGAGTCAAAGTCAATTTCTGTTTATGAGTTGTCGAGTGTTGTTTAGGGGGAGGGGACCGACAACAGGATGGTTAGATCAGCAAAATGCCAATGACACGCTGAGCGAGGCTAATCCATAGTGGCAGTGGATACATAAAGAGAGCTTGACAGTGATGTCCTCCTGTAACCCCACAAAACACAAATCACTACTCATTATGGAGCCGCTAAACAATTCATCAGCCGGAGGACACAGTGAGATTTAAAAAAAACACACCACACTGGTTTTAAAGAATCTGTGATCATGTTTGTATCGCGTCTGCATGCAGACAAGACAGCTGTAATGGCAAGAAAGAAATCTACCGGCGGATTTAAACACACTTTCAAATTAGCCAAATTGGTTTTGTGGCCATGTATCATGCTGGCAGGTTGGGGGCTGATGGGCTTCGCCCTGAGAGAGACTCCGAACACAAGGCGGCAAAATGCTCGTTAGCATAAATGACAGCTGCAATATTATTGAAATGTAGTGACGGACGGTTCTTGGCTGCTGCTGCTCGAGTACATGAGGATTTGTTAGAGTTGATGTTGTAAAATTACATAGTGAGATTTAATCACAATTTAGAAAAGTTGGTAGGTGTTCTATTTTTAAAAATTTTAAATGCACCCTGCCATTTCACGGTTAGTTTTGAGTGATTTTCGAACCACGATCCACGATCGATGTTCCGCAACCTGTATCACAAGTGATTAATAAATCATTCAACAACTTAAAAAAACACAGTATCATATTATTCATAGTTTTTGTGTCACTGGTTTAAGATTCAATTGTCTAATAGCACGATTGTTGTCCCGTCCGAGAAGAGGCCACGCTTGATTGCGCCGGGACAGAACAGCGGCTGATGCTCACAAGAGCGTTTGATTTGACATCTCGCTGCAACACTCAAATCTCCTTTGCATTCAGATTCCAGTCCTCCCGCGACGTGATCTGCAGTTGTTTTCTTCATCGTGGCTCGGATGACGCTGATAATTGACACGCGTTGTTTGGCCTGTACAATGATGATGATGGCGCTACGAGTCTGTTCCTCAAAAGACGATTCAGGTCTTTTAGAATATTTTGGAAAGTGTTTTTAATATTGAAATTGGTTGGATATCATGACCAAAATAAAATTAATTAATAATGGATGTCAAATGCCTCAGAAGCAAGCAAAGCAATTTTTTCTGACCTTGAAATGTTTTGCCCAACATAATGAGAACGTACTGCCTCTTCGTGCAGACAACGCAGTACAAGGCAGGTTTGTGCTCATTTGGTAAATGTCTCTTTGTGACTTCATGTTTACTGCTAAACATTAGTGTTGTCCATCGAGGGGGACTGAAGTCAAGACATGTAACGTGAAACATAACTCCTGTTTCATGACAGAAACTCAACTTTGAAGTACCTATGCCCTCACGCTCCGCAGCGAGCTAAACAACCTCCCGATAAAGACTGAAACCTTTGTAGTGTTTTCCACAAACTTTGGAAACGGTATTGCACAAAGTTAATGATAGCGATCGAGCATGAGATGGAACAAAGTCATTGCAAAATGAGTTAAGGACACTGAATTCATAAATACTAGAGTGAATGTTAATTATTTAACAAGACAGTGTCTTTGAACTAGACAGCTTCATGAAACTACCAATAGTCATAATCTAGACGGATTGAAGTCTGTCAGATCCGGTACTGGAAGACTTCCACCGAGGCTGTACAGGTTTAACGTGATAAACAGTGAGGCCACTCTCACAACTACACAATGCTCAAAGCGCAACTTTTCACCTTGTGCACAGCAACGGCGTATGTAACACAAAGAGTAACAGTTAACGTACACAAGTAATAGACTTTTTGGGTCAGTGTATTTCCCAGACTTTATGCATATTGGTTGAAGGTAGTAAGCAGTGTCACCACACATTCAACCGACTTGTAGTTTTCGTGATCTAGCAATATTTACTCTCTGCCTATATCTTAGTAATGCTGCACTGCGATGTGTACGAGACAATTATTGTGAATGTGTGAGAGGATAATGACTCATCATCACACCCCTCCTATTTATACTCGACCTCACCAAATTATTTGGCGCAGGTGCGCTTGGAAACGCCCCCATTGAGCTGACAAATGTGTTATTTGGGTGTTTTTAAAAGTTTAAAAAAATGGATGGAACCATCTGATTCATTCTGCCGCTAAATAGCAAGATAATCAGAGTTTCTCTATGAAATGCCATTTATTTTGAATGCATACTCATCACACTGTCACTGTCTTTAAGCTACTTGCTCTTATCTAACAGTCAGTTAGTTTCAACACAGTCAGCTGAATGTTTAAACTAATACCTGCATGTGTGCATTTGCCAGTTACTTATCCCTGTACATAAATTTGGATGTAGGCAGGTCCTGGGTGGCTTGGTGTGTGTTGCACGGGGTTAATTTCCATCAAGAGGCCACATATGTGTGTGTTGACGATCATCAACTGTGGAACAACAGTGTTTTGCCCTCCCACAGTCCAGCCAGGCTCCCCTGTGACAAGGCTGAAATGGAAGTGTGCTGCAGGTCAGAGCGGCGCTGTAATTATTTTCTCACTTCATTAAGTGCGAGCAAACCATCATACTCAGCAATGCAGCTAATGCAATGCCCCTGTGGCATTGTAATGCTCTCTAAATGAATGCCCCTCTGACAGCCTCGGGCGTAGTGGGCAGCAGATTACTGCAGGGTTAGCCCCAACAATGCGCTACCCTCAAGCTGCGGAGGCATTCATTAGCAGGCTTATACGACCCGGCAACTCCTCGTCAGAAGTCCACAGGCCCTCCTGAATCCTCCAGAGTGTTGTTTGAGCTCAGCATCACTAAAGTTAACTGTAAATACCATTTGAAAGCACTCCGAGCTGACAGTTCATTTGCCCCTGATAGCTATTTGGGCTTCATGGTCACCCGAGGTCGGTGGAATCTGCAGGATTTTAGGTTATTGTTTAAGTTGTTTATCCGTTAACTCTGATGTTTTCTAGGTGAGACCACAGTTGAGGAGACGTACGACCGGATGTTCACCGTCACCAGCCGTGTCCGATTTTCGGTCACCAAAGAGGACGATGGTGTTCCAGTGGACTGCATCATTGACCACCCAGCTGCAAAGGACCTCCTGGCTCAAAGACAATTGGACGTGCTATGTGAGTGACCTTAATATGCCGCACTTTTTCAAGTCAAGAGCAACGCCAAGGTGTCATAGACAGAGTTATCACTCTCTTCCTTGTATATGCCCATTAAAAAGAACTTTGAATAATTCCAAAGGTGCCACACAAACTAACAATAACACAGGATTTTAACAACACACAGAAACTGGTTCAGATTTGGAATTCTTTGAAAGCTGACAAAAACATGACCGGTAGCATAATACGCAGCTATAAAAAATATAGCCACATATATAGGAAATATGTCAATTTGAAATTCTTCTTTTTTTCTTTTTAAAGAAGTCAAGAATTGGTGATAGATTCTTCGTGCACGTAAGAAGCATCAGACCAGGCGTAGTTGTTTAGCTGGACTCTCCAGTGTATTCTTTCAAATCATAGAAGTACAGGACTGCAGTGATGCACAGCTTGCTACACCGGTGGGCCACTTCCGCAAAATCAGCGGGCCACCCGGCTCCCTGGCAGGTGGCAATTTCAATACCACTGGTGTTCTGTGAGTCTCTCACTGCCTTCATGAGGTTCTGTCTCTCTTAAAGCCTGCTGGCGCCTCGGCCCTTTGGAGACAGTCACCACAATGGACAAAAATACGTTGTGCTCAGGTGTCAAATTATGTTTAGGTGGTCCATTGATTGAAAAGCTAATAGATGCTGCCTCACACTGCTAAACATCAAAGAAAGGTTAAGGCACCCTTTTGTTGTCAGTGTAGAATATTAATTTTTGTTTTTGAGTAGAATACTGTTTTGTCTGACCTTTTGAGGAGAAGAAAAGCTTGACTGAAAAAGCTTGACATTTTGGTAATCTTAGCCTAGCATTGATAAGAAGAAGGAAAAAAGTTAGTTTTAAGGTGCAGTGCCTTGCTGGGTGTCTACTGGGCTGATATGATAATCATTTCATCACCTCTATGACTAACTTTTGCTTTGGTGGCACATTTCAAGAAATAATCTGTTTTCTTTGAGCTCGTGACACTGGAGTATGGTAAATACTTTCTTTTCAGATAAACCAGAAGTGAAGATTGTGGTGGCTTACCCCAACGGTTTAACCAGAGAGGGTGACAATCTAGATTTGACATGTATCGCAGAAGGAAAACCCCAGTAAGTACTCGCACTGATGGACGCACGTCAACACTTCAGGTTTCATACTTTCGTCCAGTAACCTTCATATTTCATTGTACCATTTAAATGTTACCCGTTGTTTGCATGCCGCATAAAGCTCATCATTAGACAGGGCCCGCCGCCGGCCCTTCCTCAGACAATCTCAGATTTGACCTTTATTTGAGCTCTCCAAGCATGCGTGGCCGGCGCCTGAGTGATGTGAGTGGTATTTGTGCTCTCCAGTCCCCGCCGGATCATCTGGCTGCGAGTGGACGAGGATATGCCGCCTCACGCCGTGGTCACCGGCCACGACCTGTACATCGAGAACCTCAACAAGTCCTACAACGGCACCTACCGCTGCGTGGCGTCCAATGCTGTGGGAGACGCTTACGACGACTACGCGCTCTATGTATATGGTGAGTATCAGTGCTTCATTGGACTCAATGTTAAATTCGTTCTAGTGCTGCTAAAGTAACTGCATTGGCACGTAGCGGAGCCACGAGGCCGCCGAAAACCACATTAAACTAACAAGATATACATTTGCATGTTAGGGGAGTTAGTCGGCTGTTTGTTTCCTTACTTTTATGGTGTTTGTTACATTTTTATACAATGCCGGACTTGTTGTTTTGCCCTGTTTCCAGTATTCATGCTGAGCTAATTGGCCGCTGTCTGCAGCTTTATTTATATCTGCGAACAGACATGGTGCCGCAAAGAAAAAATAAGGGATTGAATTCATTGGGTCAAAATCGCACACATAATCTAAAATATTTGGAACTTTTTTGCAAACAACTTGACTATTTAGAGGAACACCAAGAATGGTTGCAAATGACTCCCCAAGGGAGAACAGCAGGAGGTAACTTTTTGAAGTTTGGAAATCATTTACAAAAGCATTGTCGGCGAGGCACACACTCCTCGGACCTTAATTTCCTATTTTTGGTGGCTGGCAGGGGTGATGAGGGTCAGGGGAAAATAAATATGCAGCAGGTGCAGCCATTGTTGGGAAGCATTTTTCCTTGGAGCATTGCTCCCTGCTGTTCAGAAGAGAATTTTTTATTTTGCTCCCAAGTTTCAATTTATTTCTGACTATGCGCCATGTACATTGCCGGGCAGTGAACATACCAACACCGGGAATAAACTGTTGTGCTCTCACCACTAGTATGTACATGCATTTGTTTATATCCCGCCCAAACGGCAGGTTAATTATTGGTTATTTGCCTTCACATTAAACAAAAGAAGTGAGCGTTAGCCATATTTCTTGATGTTTGGGTTACATTAGAGTCTGTTTTCCCATCAAGCTGAATATCATATATTTCTATGTATTTATCTCTCTATAGTCCTTTTGATCACATCAAACCCACACTACACAAAATGTTCCCCTGAATGTGTTTTACTGTTGCTTCACTTGAGCATGACTGCATGTTTGTTCTGAGTAGGGCACCCAACGGCTCCTCACAGTTTTCTGTGCACATTTAATACTGTCCATTTTTCCTCATTGTTCAAAAACAGAATATTTTATTAAATATTATTATTTACTATGATTAATCATATTGAAATGTTTTGCGTGTTATCCCGTCTGGGGGGGATTTACTTGACCGGCTTGAAAGGTTCGGGGTCCATTGACTGGTTTCATGCCGAGAATTGTACCGTATTGAATTGAGATTGCAGTTACCTTTTGGTTTTGCTGGTAGTTTCTTCAGTAATTTACCACATGGATGCAGAGGGTCAAAATTGGCCTCTGAAATCAACATTCACCTCTTTGCCTAAGATGTGGCCGAAGCAGCGGCATCGAGGTGAGGTGCATAGTGTTGTGCTAAAAGCAAAGCTGCTGCTGAAACTGGCTCATTGTAGATGTTGTGGAGGGAACCGATTGCAGGTTTCAGAATGGTGATATAAGTGTGATCAAAATTCAGTCTGCTTGTTTGGGTTTTGTTGACGGCCATGAACTGTGTGTTGAAAAGACAGCAATGCAACTTTCTTGCCGGCAAATGTTTACGGCAGTTGCTGAAGTATATGGAATTCAGAAATAAATGCAATGGTTTTCCCATGTTACCACAAGCAGTTAATCCAATTTTAATGGACAGTTTGGAGCAGAAGCTTTTTTTACTTTGTCAGAGAAACCTACTGCTTAATCTTTACACTTAGAAACTCACCTCGATTGGTGTAGTAGAAAGGTGTTGTTGCTCTAATACCCAAAACCTCCTCACTACAGAGCATTCAGAGAATAGCAAGAAAGTTTTCCTTTGTCAAACCATCACATGTCTGCTGTTCATGTGTTTGTTTCACCAGCTGAAATGTGGGACTTTGTCACAGTGACAGGTTCCCTGTGACTCTCACAACTCTGCCGCCCAATGGTTATTCATCATTGTGCTTTGCCAGGCAGATGATGGCATCTGCTTGTTCCCAACGGGCCCATAATGATCACTAACAAACAAAAGGACAGCATATGCCGGCAAATAGCTCACTCAAGGCAGACTTATTTAAGCTACCCTGACTGAATTCCTAATTGTTGTGTCAAGATTCCTTTGACACTGAGATTTACCGTGCTTTCTCAAGCACAACACTATATTTGGTGTTCACCAGAGGGGCTTTGCGTATTTAAGAGCTCATAAAGGACGTCTGTTGACTGCTGTTAAATTCATCGTTTTCTTCATGCTGCATCCCTTAAACTTAAACTATAAATTAATAAAAATCAATGGGAGGCAAATGCTCTCTGGGACGGAATAAAAAACAATTATCCTTACCATCCATATTGGGTTTTCTATTCCCATTAGCGCCTTTGGCTACGACGTCTTCAATTAGAAACGTGCTATCCACATATGTGAGGCATTTTGCATTTTGTGTGTGCAGTTTTGAGAATTGTGTGTAGAGTTTTGAAAAAAGGAGACTTAGTTTTGAAAACGTGTGTAAATGATTGGTAAAAACTGTAAACATAATTTCTCTGGTGGACGCGCGTTGGAAGCGCGATGACTCCAGCTCGCTGTAATGAGACACAGGAGATTGGTAAAAGATGCTCATAACCGCATATAATCACGCATGTGACTGCCAAACCACTTTTCTGGAGGATTTAATGCAAGACCAAATGATGTTGTGGTGTATGTGAGGGTTTGTTGCGCCAGACTAACCATGCTTGCTACATTGGTTTTAATTGGTACGTGTTCCTGTATTACATCTAAGCATGAGAAACTTGTGCTATTTTGGTCCAACTTCTCAGCAGCAAGGCACAACCTCTAACCGTCCATCCCTGTTATCCCGCCCACTATCTTCACATTTCTTTAACAAAATTACCATTTTCTTATCTTATCTGGCGTTTCTACTGTTTTGTTTCGCTATGTTCGAGCTTCTGCTCCCGTTGAAACCGCCACGCTCCTGTCTAAAAGAACGCATTTCATCCAACCAACTGCATGCCACAAGTAACTTTATTTTAATGAGTTGTTTTGTTCTTGATCATTTTGCTTTTGAGCATTATTGACAGAGCCGGGGCGAAATTGTCCGTACATTTTCTTTCATCCTGCCGCCACTTCGCACCGCTGCTGTGCTCATCCCATTTCAAAATGACTAATGACCTTTCACTGTGTGACAACCCGGACAGGTGTGAGGCCGATGTAAATCCACGTCAAATCAAATCCTATTGTGGAGGGTGTGTGTGTGCGTTGAAAATGGCCAGTATAAAGGCTGAGAAAGAGGCCTGTCATGCGATTCCCCACGTGGGTGCGTCTGCAGCAGGCTGTGAATTGTGCCCCCCGGCCGGTGTGTGGTGCGGGAGGCAGCTGACCACAGAGAGGCCCGTCTCTGTCGGAGGTGACCCGGTGCTACATCTCACACATATTGCCTGTTGGCAGCGGAATAGTGTGGCTTTTACCCCTGCAGTTTACCACACAGTTGAATTTCTGAACTACACTTTTTTTATATTGACCAGAAGGATTCACAGGTCTCTGGAAAGTCGTGTTTTATCAGGGGTTTCGACATAACATGAGCAGACAGGGCTCGTGGGTCTCCTTGTTCTTATGAAAGGCTGTTGTGAAACTGTCTTTGTGAATCACACTGGTTTCATGACATGTGCAACAAAGTGAGGAACGACATGCAACACATTAGCTTTGTAGATTGAATATTCTGAAAATCAATTTAATGGATAAGTTAAAACAACCCTCTTAAATGCATTGCTCCATTTTTTTTAAGAAAACCCCTATAAAGCTTTAGAGAATAGAAAATAAAAAAACAAAAGAAAAGCAAAATCTCTAACCTGCTGTATTCTTGGCAGGCAGGTTTAAGCAAGCATAGATAAACAATTTCTCCAACATTGTTTCACTTTACTGTTAAATTTTCTCATATCAAATTCTTCACTGATACAAATGCTCCCTGAAAATATGGCCTCCGCAAAATACTCTCATATATCAGTCCTCATAATGCTGAGCCCAGAGTCAGCCAGCCTGGAAATTGCCCATGGAGAATTCTTGTTCGCCTGGATATTATATGTGCCACATCCTATCCCGGCCTTTGTGAAGACCCTCATCCCTGAATGGCCAATTTCCCTCTTCCAGACACTGACATTTCAGCTATCAGACTGCCTTCGGTCACAGGGAAAGAAATCCAACCCACCCCCCTCTTCAAATATTGTCAGAGCAGAATCTCTGCCTGATACCCTAATACCCCCACCACCACCACCACCATCACCATCAGCACCACCTCCGCCATAGACTCCGTCCCCAGCGGCAACATTATGCTGTCCTTGATGTTTTATCATTAGCTGGGGAGTGTGTGGTCCCCCACTGCCGTCTTTTGATGGAGTGCAGACAGCGAAAGCATAAAGACAACCAGCCAATTTCCACTGCTGCGACTCTCCCACAGCAGGGGGTTGTGCTACCTTTCCCCCGCACCACAGCCAGGCATATATTCCCTTGATGAGGAAGCTTTCAGCCCTCCTTAGTACCGTAGAATACCTGAATTGCCCCGCGTTTTGTCTTTCTCATTATTTTGTTTGGGGGTTCTTGACAGGCCTATCAGTGCAGTGTGGGACGGAGGATGCTGCTCGGGGGCTCTGCTCTGCTGCAGCGGGAGACCACCTGAGTGGCTTAATTTGCAATTTGACTTAATTATTGTAGGCGACCGTGGAAAATAGCAGTAACGTTCTATGATTGCCTGGTATTATTATTCGTAATTAATTAGACAATGTTTCAAAAAAAGAAACACAGTACCTTACCACAACAGGAAATATTACAACCACATCACAGGGAAACAGTGGTGTATTTTTCTTTTTAGCCAGACTATAACATGCACGGTCCTGTGCATGGCAGTGACAGCCTCTAGGTCAGTCGGTCCACCACTTTCAGAGATTATAGGCTAACGAGCCTCCTCCCTTCTCCTCATGCATCACCCAGAGCTGTGTTATGGTAGTAAAATGTCTTAACTACTATCGGATGGGCTGGCACAAAATTCTACACAGTCCATGCAAATAGAATAATTCGCAAAACGAGGCACATTCCTAACGGCCTCTGTTGATGCTGTGATTCGCACTAATTAGGAAATGTTAGTGACCTAAAATTCTAAGCTGTGTGACAATGAGACACAGCGTACCTGCAAAAAATCAGCATGCTATCGTGCTTGTGTCCTTCTCATCCTTGTGAGCATGTTAGCACGATAGCGTTAGCATTTAGTTCAAAGCACTGCTGTGCTAGGCTTCCTTTCTCTTTAAAATTTCTCATACACTGGCTAAACATGTGCATGCTATGACTTATTTTTTTTATAGTACAGCTTCTCATTTTCAATGCCCTTTGTCTATTTCTTTACTCTTGTCTTCCTTTATTTCTTATACATGTTCTTTATTATTTTTTTTTACTCTTTTCATCTAGATGCTCCCACTACTATCCCCACACCCACCACCAACCCAGTCAACACGCAAGGTACTGTATGCCCCCACTACTGCCCCTGTCAGCAATCTCATGCGTTCGTGTGTGTGTGTTTGTCTGTGTGTGTGTGTGTGTGCAGCGGGCTTGAATGCACGTATGATCAGATGACCAGGGAGAGAAAGAACGAGGTCTTGTACCCGAGGCCACGACTGTGGATGGCCAGTTTTCATCAGATAGTGCAGCTGATGGGTGACATTGAGGACGAGCAGTGCTGTCGGAGGCACCTGTCACAGCCCTTTCCCGTCCCATGTTTGGTGTGAGAAAACGTAGAGACTCTGCTTTGCTGTTCTGCTTGATGTTATCAGCATCAGCAGTTATATCTCAACCGGCCCGTCTGTCATATTATAATGGTCTTTACATGTACCCTACAAATGCCTGTCTCATCTAGTCTTTGCAAGGCCGAAAAAACATCAATGACTATTTTCTCAAAGATTGTATGAAATGACCGTAAGTTAATTTGGGGGTTTTCTTCCTAACACACAATGATTAAGCTCCCTGTATTTTAACGTTACCCCATTTAAAAAATGAAAACACTATTATTTGAAAAGCACCACTAAGGCTCAACAGATGGCGAGGCAACCTTCGGGAGTTGACATTTAAATATGCCAGCATGTGACATTTCAATACAAAAAACTATCCTTAAAGAATAGATCTGTTTATCAATAGCTGCTTTAGAGATATGGCAATTTTGGCCCTTTTTGTCATGACCACTCAGCATTTCATTCATGCTTAAAATCTGGAGTGGCAGTAGGCAGATAATAAGTTTGAAACGCAGTGTGAGACTGCATCAAAAGCTCCACTCTTCTAATGTGTCGGATTTGAGATATTATTCCTTTGTACATTTGTTGGATCAAATAATTGCCTTTTAAATCATTTGTTTGTGCATTTCTTTTGTATTCATTTAAAAAAAGGGTCAATATTAACATAAATGTTACTCTCTGTAATTTCTATGGACTCCTGGTTTGAATATCTCGGTTCCATTAGACAGAGTTCTTCTTCATTAAATGTTTCATCTTACCCCCTCATGTTTGTAATTCCTATTTTCATTTTACAAAATCTCTCAAATGAAGTTATCAGCAGTATTTAAGGGATCGTGCTCCATGGATACGGCTTAATTTCAGCTCCCTGACTCTCTGTGGGTGTGGCTTAGTCGAATGGGAAGTGGCTTTTGCCGAAGTGTGTATCACACTGCATTTTTCTCCCCTAATCGCTTCTCCTCTGAGTTACACTCATGCAGCCATCTCAGTGTTTTCTGCTGTAACATTCCAGTAATTTCCGAGAGACAGGCTTGAAAGAGGATTTACGGTGATTCATGCAGTACATCCTGGGAGGATGTAATTGAGCTTTCTTGCAGTTCACTACTCTTCTAAACACCCTGTTACTGGGGCAATTGGAAGCTGGCTTGCCGGAGATTGCTTCGCACTACCTTAAAGAGCAAAACAGCACGTTATAGAATTTTCCTCAATAAGGAAGTACAGAATGATTCCTCATTCGTTCATTTCGACTAGTGTGAATTTGCACAGCTAACGCCACCACCAGCTGTGATTTTCTGTTGTAATCAGGGGCCAGTGAACTGTCGTCGTGTCGTGTCGTGATTTTAAAGGTCAAATAAGTACAATTTTGACGCATGAATTGAATGCACTGCCACATGAAGATTGAAGAGTTTGAGCTTGTGGTTATAACTAATAAAATCTTCATTTTGTGTGTTTGTGGAGTGATTTTAAGAATAAATCCCTCACACATTCCATTTGGAAGCAAGAAGAACATATAATAGACATTACATTGTCATCCTTCTTTAATCTACGGTTAAATTTCTTGTATGCTTTGGTTTTATTCTTTACATTTTAAATTTTACCCCTGCATCCATTGTTGTTTGGAACACTTTTAGATTTTGGTCATATTGTATGCAGGCAAGATTAGTATCTTTGATGGCTGCTAATGGGGATTGTATAAATTAACAACAAATAAGCACACTGCAGATTACATTCATTTCTTGTTCTAATGTGCTGTACTTGCATAGCTTCACGTAGATCTGAGATTTCTACTGTGTACGTTGACTGGGATTAACTTGTTGAATGAATATACCCAGTTTTCAAGTTGATGTCATTCCCTAAACCGTATAAACAGCAGGTAGACATTATTTTTCCTGAAAGCTAGCATGAAAAGGAATTTATGTATATTGTTAGCCCACCGCCTCCCGGCTTTGTTGTTCATAATAGATGGATTTAATTTCCAAAAGGCTATGATTTCCCTCGCTGTATTTTCTTCTCTTTTTCCTCTTGCCGTTGCCTTGCAAACCCAAGCATCAGTTCAAGGCCTTAATATGGTTTTGTGCAGCGGGGGATGTTAAAGCACGGAATTTCACAGTTGTTTGTTACTATTCTGTTTCATGTTCAGAATGTTTCAAAAGGGTTCGTATTGTTAGGTCTTTCAGTGTCTCAAAAGATGCAAAGAGCGTGCCTATTATTTGTGTGCTAGCGTGAGGGGGTTGTAAATCGCATGGAAGAGATAAGCCAGTAGTATCCAGAGAAGTATTAATTTCATGTGTTTGAAAGTTTTCAGACCTGTTTTCTCTCTTTATATATCTCTATCATTGCGTATATACATTTAAACAAAAGGCTTTTAGTTGTCTTGACAGATATCTGTGACCTTTTTGCTCACCTGAATACGGGATTTGGGTAGGAACGAGATACATTCATCCCCTTCTGAAGCAAGTTTGGGGAGTACACGGTATATATTTAATGCATCAGACTTCTTTCTCTCACTTGAGTAGGTTATGACCTGTAAGATCAGTCACACTGTGCGGCACGCTGATGCGGTTGTTAGCACGGTGTCCTCGGCGCAGAGAAGGTCCTGGGTTCTGACCCGTCCTGCGTCTGCGGCCTTTCTGCGTGGAGGTCCAGGGCGCCCCCCGTCTCTCGCTAGCTGGGATTGACTCCAGCCACCCCGCGACCCGCTAAGGATAAGCGGTGTGGAAGACATTATCCTACCGCAGAGACGCCTCCGCTGGACTCTCTGTTGAAAGCAGCGTGAAGCCTTAGCAGGGGAACAGCGGAGCAATACACAGAGCTCACAATAAAACGCCTTGTTTCTAGACCTGTAACGGGGAAAAAAGGCAGAGCAGAAGGAGACAAAGGAAATGTGAGTACATCAAAGAATATTTTAATACTCTCCCTTGTTCTTTTGCTAAGTAACAGTACTTGAAGATTTGGTGCCTCCACGATTGGTAAAAAATAAATGGAGTTGTAGTTTGTTGTCAGTGGCTGTATTGCCTGCAGAGGAAGGGGGTTGAATTTACCCAGAATCCCCAGTTCTGAAGGAAAACAGAGAGTCTGTGGCGATAATGCTCCAGCTCGTCAGATGCTCAGAGATGATCCGTGGCAGGGACACGAGATCACGGCTAAGCCTTCAGTAACTCCTCTCGCCCGTCTCCTCAAGAGGAGCCAGAGGAAAGACACAAAACAAGACTTGATTAAAAAGACCCTATGTTTCTGCAGATCTAAAGTCCATGGTAAGTTGTTTTTAGCACACTACAGTAGGATCTCCGCTCTGATTATCCAAAAGTAATATAAAATCTAAACATCACGCAGCAGCCTTCTGCTTTAAGGACACGAGTTGGGGCTTTCAAAAAAGGGCTTTGTACGCAAACATTCAACTGAGGTTGGGCTCTATGGACTCCATCCTTTACACTTGGTAATACTACTAACCGTAAAATAGTGTTTTATTGCCTGCTTGGCTGAGCCGTCGGGGATTTGTAGTCGACATGCGGTGTGTGATGTTCACATGTAGCAGAGTTTCCACTGCTGTTTAGTGTTTGGAACAAACACGTAAGATTTGCCTTCATCAGAAGCTGTTATGAGTGGATTCAGTATTCAACGTAATGGGCCATTAAACATTTACTGGCGTTGTTTTAACTCTCGCATGTATTATTTGGAAAAATTAAAGAATGATTTAGAAATGATTTTTCCCGCCCTCACATTTGTTTACTGCAATTCCCTGTGGAAATTGTGTTTTTTCTGACCTCAGGTGTTTCTCTCTTTCCTTTAAACAGTTATTAAAGTAAAAAAATGTTGTAATGGTTTATTTTAATTGTTCTCCAGAGAATATGTTAGTAATGCCGAACCACCCTGAAGTGAAATTAGTGTTTCACTACAGTCATATTGTTTGTACAGTAGTAAATGATTATGAGAGCTGTACTTAGCACCTGAGGGTTTGGAGATTGAGTGTTATGTACCAATGAACTTGCACCGTGTCCTCATTTTAGGGCTGATAAGGTGTTCTTTTGTGGCACGCTACATGTCAGCAAGTTTGGGAGGAGAGCAAGCCATTTCCATTACTTTTTGCCAACTTCTTCCCTCGCCTTGAAAACACGTTGAAGGGGGAAGTATGAAGTGGAGAAGAGAGCTACGAGCTTTTGTGCCGAGAAGTTTGCCAATCTCAAAAGATACAATAAACTGCCATCGGGAGGGAGTTCAAGTTCGCTTTAACAATTTCCATTCATTTTCCATTTTATTAGATGTAGTCAGACCTTCCCTTGTATTTCACCCCCTCCGTTAAATGTCACAGCTGTTCTTGCACATCTTTAAATTGCTCCTTTGGGTTATTACAAAGAACACGGAGAATCTATTTAGTGAGCGAGCAGTCGCATTGGAATTCAACTGAAGACAATATTGTTCTCTGTTGATGGTCTGCTTCAACAGCAATACGAAACATTATTCCTGGAGATTGCCGTTTTTTGCTCATCTCATTACATTCGTTTCCTTTTTAGAGCACCAACCCATACAAAATCCACGGGTGTTAGCCGGTCAATGCCGCAAAACAGGCATTGACGCTCCCCTAGTTGACTCCGCAGCATTGCCCGAATGTCCTGCCACTGTACAGGAAAAGGTTACCGCGTGAGTCTATTTAGCGCAACGGACGGGTTTGCTCTTTCCATGCAAGAGAGTCATTGTTTCAATTATATCCATGTAATTACGTCTATAAATTGTAATGTGTTTGTGGGTTTGAGCAAACGCATGTGTGTGCGTGCGTGAGCCACGCCTCGTTATGTGAGCAGAAAACTATTAAGAGAAGAAAAAAAAAAAGATGGGAAGAATCAAATTATATTCTGTGTTATCAGCCCTGGTGACAAGCTTGCAGCTTTGACAGATGGTCTGATAGGACGCTGACCAGAGCGGCAATTAGTCATTTCAATACAGAGATGGAAAGGTGTGGCTGTAAAGCATGTGTTACTGGGAGTTCTGCAGAGCAGATTTCACAGTCGCGCAGACACGGGCATCAGTTGCTTGTAAATCCTCTTTATTCCCCCATAAATCCCCACGGCTGTGCACATCCTGTCAGGACGCCGGTGTGGGCATGTCAGCACTCTGCCATCGTGAGCGAAGCTTTGCCGGCGGTATGGGCACCAGCCACATTACAGACATAATCAAATTCTACTTATTTCGAGTGTGCGATCACAAAGGCCGCTGTAATAACACTGGCTGTCATTTGCAGCTATATTTATGTTGCTCTAAGCACTGTGTTGTATTGCGGATGGGTAAATATTAAACATGGTGGGCCTGAGGGAATCACACTCTTAATCCTTGGGATCATTAGAACGCTGGATGACAAACTGATCTACACAAGAAGATTAGTGATAGCAATGACACTAGTTCCTGTTGAGGTCAGGGATCTGGTCTGGTAGCCTTCAGATCAGCACTGCAGAAGTCCAAAAAACACTTTGAACTCTGTTACCCAAATGCATTATTTGCATGCAATATCATGAAGTCCTGCTACCAAATATGGTAGGTGCTAATTCAACCAATCGTGTGCAGTCGTTGGTGTGATTGTATTGTAGGTTGATCCCATTATTTTGTCCACCTAGAGAGCGAAATAAGGCAGCAGCATAAAAGGGACAGCCTTGCACTGTATGACCCCTCCAGTGCGGGGACTCAAAGGTGACAGACAGATGGCTGCAGGAAAGTGGGCCACTCAATAATCGTAAGGTCAGGGGGTTCCTCTTGTCCACGACGCAAAACCACAATTGGTCCTAAAGTCCACAAGCGCTATGAAGAATCATCTCGTAATTCAACGCATTCTTATAAAACGTTTTCATACCAACCATTGTTTCTTTCACTTTTTGCACAATTTCCAAATGAATGTGCTGCAACTCGAGTCCACGTCAGGTGCAAACAGTCTTTCAATACAAACTGCCGTCTTCACAGACTTCATTCGGTCCAGGCACCAAAACTATTTGTTTGGATTCCGGAAAAGATTGAGGTCTGGGTTAAAATAACCAGGGAAATGCCATTTTGTAACCGCGAAAAGGACTAATTATAATGTAAGCTAAATAGGGAAATATGAGAAATGGTCATGGTCAAAATTGATGTAGCAAAAGCTGAGATATAAGACAAGATCTAACATTTCCTATTTTACTTTAAATTGTGTATTTTTTTAAAGAACCTGCCTGGCAAAAGCATCTGGTGACAAAATTCTTGTGACCATTGACCTGCATTACGTAACATGTCTCATGATTGTCGTGCAGTGTAATGCAGACTGCAGCAACTCCACAAAATGAATGAAAATTAACCCAACAGTAATATTTACATCGACATGTTTTTGCGGCGATCCCCCGTGATGAATACAGAGCCGACAATCAGTGTGCAATGCTCAATGCCGGCAACATGATATGCGACCTACCGTGGCAGTTGATACTGTGGGTGTTACGGGATTTTTTTAGTTTTGACATTTTTGTGAAAGGGTCTAGGCGCTTACCCTGGGCGAATTCTTCTACCTGTTAATAAAAATCATCGGCGTTGTGCGGAGGCGGCGGGGACCCTGCATGTTTCTTTGGGGATGTGTCAAAAGGAAGACAGCGGGGAACAAGGTGAGGGCAGGAAAGAGTGTGTGTGGTGTGTGTGTGTGTGTGTGTGTGTGTGTGTGGGCTTGATAGGAATGAGCACAGGCCATTTTGTGGTGAATGTTCATTAGCATGGAGAACGGGCCGTTTCCTCTCAACAGGGAATGAGCTGTGCTATCTGACATCACCGACACAGTAAACAAACGGCGCCTTGCGCATCCCTGCTTCACTCAGCTGGACGCACAGACGAGTCCATTTTAAGTGGGCGCTCAACTGAAACAAAACTTTTCGCAGTAATTAGCTAATGAACTTCCAAATTGTCCTTGCGCTGAGCTGAATGCAACTTGAACGCGGTTTTGGGTGTTTCTTTATTTTTGGTTGAGACGTGAATGGCAATTGTCCCCTCAACTCAACTTATTACGCCCTCACAGTGTGAGAAATTCCGCTCCCTTCGCTCGTCTTTTATCAGAATAATTCAAGTTCAGAGCATGGCTAGTGAGATTGATGGAAAATTGAGCTGCTCTCTCATGCAGCAAAGAACAGTGCAGCCATTCCCTCGCCTGCCACTCCTCCATCAGTCCAAATGTGCACAGATATAGACTATTGATAAATGCCTCTGAACTATTCTGAGAGTGGAAATTTAAAGGCTTCAAATTTTTGGCGTTGTTCTACTGTGGTGCACGGATAAATCTGGCTAAATGCTAGACAGTGATACTCTCTGACACCTGAGGCAGCCACGTATTTCTCTACACGGGGACAACCGGGCGCCAATTTATCTCCAGACACGTGTCTATTTCTGATGATTGAGCTCTGTAACTTCCAGAAATGGCCTCTTAAATCACAATGAATTTTACAGTGTGTGAACTCTCGATGAAATTGCAGACGGTGTCTACTGTTTCATGGTGAAATAACTGTCTTAAAACATTTTTCAAAATCGCTCAGTCAAGGAGCTCGAGCAGTCGTTTGAGCTTTTTGAAGCACCAAAAGCGTTCGCATAAAGAGAGCCTGGATCAACAGTAAAGCATCATAAATGTATAGTTTCATAACATCAAACATGCCCAAGTATTATAGAAATGTATTATTTTTATTTTATTAAAGCACTTATTTGGCAAATGCCGTATGCTTAGTCTGTGTCATGCCTGCAGTTTGCTGTTGAATCAGTTGGACTGGCTTTGTATGGATGACACAGATGTGTTAATTAGTGCACTTAGAGGTTCTGTTAGTGGTGTTTTGTTCCAGAGCCATGCGAGCTGCTTCCGGCCTTTATGAGAAGCCGACTGATGCCTTTAGCTCCGTATTCGGCGTACAGACACAAGACTGGTAATGACATCCTTATTCAAAACTCCCAGAAATGATTTGCTGAATTACTCGCAGGTAAACGAGCAACTGTGAACCATTAACCGTTCATTTTTATTGGTCATCTAAATAATCTGGTATTTTTCTCAACAGCCTTTTCAAGTGTTTTGTCAGAGGTTTGGTCTTTGGCTAAATGGTATTCGAGAGAATATAAGCCATTTTGGTTTAGCGGCGTTATGATTTAATGGCCACAGCCTCCAGCGTGGTCCACATCTGTGTGCCGGTATTAGTGACTGCCTGAGACCGTTTACTGATCATGAAAATATTTATGGTTATTGTCCTGGTTACAGACCCCAGAGCCGGAGAGGGGGCACCGCAGAAAATTGACCATGCTGTCATCGGAGGAGTGGTTGCCGTGGTGATGTTTGCCATCCTCTGTGCACTCATTGTTCTTGGTCGATACTTTGCCAGACACAAAGGTAAGGCAACGGCAGTGCAATCATACTTGATCGGCAACAAGTCTGTGAATTTCAGCGTTTTTTTCTTCTTCTATTGTTGTTGCAAAAAGAGTCCAGTACAATAGGACCGAAGTGCGCATGAGGCGGGGGAGGTGTCGGCCTAATTTGTGTGTACTTGTCCGTACATTTGCGCAGGAACTTACTTCACACATGAAGCCAAAGGAGCGGACGATGCTGCCGATGCAGACACAGCTATCATCAACGCGGAAGGCGGACACAACAACACGGACGAGAAGAAGGAGTACTACATCTAAACTGTGCAGGCTAGGAGAGGAAGGTGGGGGTACTGGTTGTGCTGTAGGAGGATTATGTCTTACTCTGATTGGTTACGCAATGGCTTGGGGGCGGGTAGGGCAAGATTTTAAGAGGAAGATAAGAAAGTGGAAAAGTTGGACTGGCACGGCCAAGTCGTAAGAAGAGGCATTGCTGAGTCTGCTTTCCGACCCTTCCTGGACTGCTGGGGGCAATTCTGTACAGTTCAATTATTTTACAGACAATTTTGTGCCTTGTTATATTTCTTTTCTTTATTTAATGTATTTTTTTTCCCTCCTTCTCATGCTTGTTGGATTGGATTTTATTTTTCCCTCAATGTAATCCATCTGATCCTTTGTTGCATTTGGCTTTCAGACATTAAATGAGTCTGGTGTTTGTCCGTGTGTGCTGCAGCTGGCTTTTAGCTCATGTAGCCGTTACACTTTTTTTTTTTCCTGAATCTTTAACTAAAACACCGTATCAACACATTTCTACCCGCTGGGTCAAAGTCCTGCGCTAATCACGGTTCAGTTTTGACATTTTTCTATCACAGATTTCGCCCTGCTTTCGAGGTCAGGCTCACTGTGTTGATTACTAATGTAACAGTTGTGAGTAATTATACTCATCATAGAATGTATTTGTTCATGAAAGTGAAGTAGGAGTGCCGTTAATAATCATTTCACAGCAAATTGCAAAGTACAACTGGTCGCTCGTTGGTTCCAGGAGAACATCTCGCAATTAGTAGATGTGAGGTCAGTTTAGTATTTTAGGGTATTGTCGAGTACAGTCAGATGTCCTCACACCTATAATGTGACATGATATACAGTTTCTATAGAACAAATCTGAAGAACTTATTCCTTTTCTCAAAGTCTGTATCCAGGTTTTTTCCTGCTGATTAAGAGGAAAGCAGTAAATCGACATTGTCAGATAACATTTACCATCATCTGTTTTTGTCCGATTATAAAAAAATCAGAGCAATAGTTGGACAATATGGAACATCACAGTCTTTGAGCTAAGCACAGCTAACGGTCTGCTGGCTGTAGATTCATAATAAGAGTGCACACATCCAAGAGTGGTAATGATATCTCTACTTCTATTTAATTAGTAAGAAACGCAATTTTCCAAAATGTCGAAGGACTCAGCAAAACAGCAACCCTTTCCAGAGTAAGTTTATTAGGTTTTTTGTCAGAGTTATATAGTTTACATACACTTGTAAAGAACATAATGTCATGCCGCTCTTGAGTTTCCACTTCTACAAGTCTGATTTTCTCTGATAGAGTGATTGGAACAGATACTTCTTTGTCACAAAAAACATTCATGAAGTTTGGTTCTTTTATGACTTTATTATGGGTTAACAGAAAAAGTTATCAAATCTGCTGTGTCAAAAATATACATTCAGCAACATGAATTAGCAATTTTGGTGACTTAGAAAGTTTTGTGAATGGAATGAGCTTCATAGCATGACCTCTGGACTTCTTGTGAGTGATTATGAGTGATTACAGCTGGTGACGTCTCTGAGGTGGTTCTTGGGCGCAGTTGGGTGTTCCAACAGGACAATGACCCCAAACACACACAAAGTGGTAATAGAATGGCTAAATCAGGCTAGAATTAGGGTTTTAGAACCGCCTTCCCAAAGTCCGGACGTAAATCCCATTGAGAACATGTGGACAATGCTGAAGAAACAAGTCCATGTCAGAAAGCCATCAAATTTAACTGAACTGCACCAATTCTGTCAAGAGGAGTGGTCAAAGATTCAACAAGAAGCTTGCCAGAAGCTTGTGGATGGCTGCCAAAAGCACCTAATTGATGTGAAAATGGCCAAGGGACATGTAACCAAATATTATCACTGCTGTATGTATATTTTTGACCCAGCAGATTTGATCATGTTTTCTGTTAACCCATAATAAAGTCATAAAAGAACCAAACTTCATGAATGTTTTTTGTGACAAAGAAGTATCTGTTCCAATCACTCTATCAGAGAAAAATCAGACTTGTAGAAATCAAGAGAGCCATGACATTATGTTCTTTACAAGTGTATGTATATATCCAACTTTGGATGGATGGACCACAAACAGCAGAAAACGGCTAACTACAAGTATTAAAGACTATTTGTCAAATATATGGGTCTTGGGGTGACACTTTAATTTGACTTTATATTTAGATTACATGTAATGACATAAATCTTGTAGTTCTTCCTGTAAAACAGTGACTGTCCAAGCTGCGTAGATCATAAAGTATCATTCAACTGTATTTGTGTGATATAGGAACAGCCTGCTGTGTGTGTTAAACATGAAATTCTTCACATTTTTATTCCACCCACACGGTCAACCCTGGACCAAATAAATGTAATATACAGTGAATATTACTTGCATGCAGCAAAAGCTTTTTTTTTTTAAATCTAATAATACATTACATATCTGGAAATGTTTTACGGTCATTGATTTATCTATTTATTTCAAGTTTCTTTTTAATTCTTATTTTGTTATTGCGATTGAAGGGAAGAGCGATTGTTACACTTTCAGTGGCAAAGCTTCATTCACTTTGGTGTTGAAGGTATCAATACATGTCCACACAAATACACATTCGAAGCGAGGCAGAGAAATACATCTTTTTCTCTGATTATTTCCAGGCTTAGAAAACCTTGCGAGATATACTGTACTTTTTTTCGCCCTTGTGCATGTTTGAGTATAAAGAAATTCAATCACAGCAAACATGAATCAGCTATATTTCCTTGCTGTCTCTATTAACATTTTACCTTTGGGCTGTCTTTGAGAACTTGCAGGGGCTCCCTCCCTCACAAGTTACCGTCAAGCTTTAGATTTGGTTTGGGTGAAGATCATTTTCTTACCGTCATCCTGCAGGCTCAAACCTTCACACGCAGACCGCCTACTTCTGCAAATGTATTTTTTCCACCCAACAACGCAAATCGGATCGAGACGCAGTGTATCACAGCTTGAAAAAAAGTCAAAACCTGTTTGGTAATAAGTGAGAGATGTCATTGCGTTTCCTGAATAAGATGAAAAAAATGTGTAAATGTACTATGAAAAAGGATAACCACTGCCTTAAACACACCTCTTGATACTTATCATTGAAAGGACTGAAGGACTTAATTTAGTGCCTTCTTTAAATTTGAGGCATATGGTTAGTATCTCACGGTATCCTCATATACACTCTTACCGTATATCTTGTATATAGCTGCTCTTTCTAACTAACAGGTCCAATACTCATCCAGGTTGTCTATACTCAAGCACCGTAGACTTGCATAACAATTACGACTTTGATCCTAAAAGCTGGAATAAGTTTTTAAAAAAACATTTCCTTGTTAATCAAGGACATGTTTGGCAGCTTGATTAGAATGGTTTAGACCAGGAGGTGGTAATTATTGTCTTAATTTCTGATCAGAAATGGGTTGTTATTAATTTCCCCACTTTGATTAATTTGTTATTTATTTGGAGAGAAAGTAATATACGAGAGGAACACACTACAAATAGCTATAATAAGCTACAATAAAAGTATATTTTAGTTTAGTGTCATGTAAACAGTTGTGTGCATGGCATTTTATTTTGAGATTTGATATTTATCTTAAATGGTTATAAAGTCACTGCTGCTTTTACTTGAGAAACGTAACGAAAATGGCATCATTCTATTCCAACATTTTGATTTGTTAAAATAGTTGATATCTAGTGTGTTTATTTTCACTCTCTCAGGTTCATGAGTGTTAACAGTTGTGTTTTTTGCATCTCAGGTAGAATGCAAATGAAAGCCCCCAAGTATATAATGTAGTACCACAGCTATTCAAACAGTGAAGAAAATCACAAGATGTACATGTTTCTTTTCTCATTTGTAAATTTTTTTGTGTTCTTAATATGGTGTTACAGTAAACGTTAAATATTATTTTGCATTGCCTAGTTCACAAAGAAAGAAAACTAGATTTGTTAAGCAGACAAAAAGTATGTACAGTCAGTGTCAAAAAAGTCACATTAAACTTCTTCTTCTTCCACCTTGACACTTTGCTCATATAGTATCGGTTATTTAGTAAATATAGAAAGTGACAACAGACTTTTATTCATGCCCACAGTACATTTTAATATCTTTGATATCTTGTATTTACTGTGACATGAATGATCATGTAGGATATTTGGATGAAACTCCTAGTCGACGCCTGGGAGGTAGGAAGAGGGGTTGGGTGGGTGTTGGTAGTTTTATTACCCCACAAAATGGTTGTTTTGTGGTTGAACCTTACATTTCTCTCTGTACCAAGGTGACGTTTTTTTTCTTTCGTGTAGTAAGGAGGATGTTTCTCATATGGCCATGCATACTTTGTATTTGTTCACACCGACATTTTTACAAAAGAAAAAAAAATAAGAAGAGTTCTTGTCTTAATAAAAAAGATATCAATGTTTCAAGTGTTGTGCTTCTGTGACTTGATCAAAAAACATGGTTTCACTTTGAAGTTCCGTCCTGCTCAGAGAAACAGGCGGCATCATTTATTAACTCGTATTTGTTGTCAAAATTCCTGTTTAACGTGCTGAATATATTAGCTGGAATAAATCTGATCACTTCATCTCGAGATGCTGATACTTGTCAAACCGGAAAAAACTTGGAAAAAAAGAAGGAAAATCGATATCGATGTAAATTTGATGTGTCTGAAAACTGACACCGACAGGCTCGGGCCCTGTTAAGCTCTCCGACTGAACACGTGGATGCTAGTGATTTGACAAATTGACATGTATTTTGAGGAACAAGACCTAGTTCATAACCATAAGCAATTCTGTCATCATAATTCCATCAGTCCCACCATTTCCCGTAGCTTTAAGTGATCCATCCCCGGTAAAGGTCAATAACATTATTCAAACTGTAATGGGAATCGTTTAACCTTAGAAACTAACCCCTTTTCTCCCTTACTGACATAATAATTGAAATATAATGCTTCCCTCTTGGAGCATTAAATACCTTCCTATGGAAACTTTGAAAGATAACAAGTCATGTGATTATAAAGAGCAGGTACAAGGCATTTGCTGCTCGACTCTTGATCTCCACTAGCTGTCAGTGCATTATGAAAGCATGAAAGTAGGGGGGTGATGTTTCAGTTAGATTATACTAATCCCATTAAAATGTTCAATTTTAATTTGGAATGACATGTTTAAGGGTAATTAGCACAATGGGGAAATTGAGAGTGAACGAATGTCTGAGCATGGCTTGTTTAGTTTGCTAATTGATTGATTGAGATTGATGGCATGTAGCACTCGGCTACTCGGTTGAGGTATAATTAAATGATGTGGGAATAAATAGTGAGTGAACAAAGGCCAACGAAACAAGCTGTGTCTGCACACTTATCTCCCCCTTTGTGCACTCCTGTTCAGCACCAATGCTAAAAGACTTGCCTAATTCTTATTC